AATCCACGTGCACATCCATTTCAGCTCAACACCCAAAGCAGTTTTAATATCTTCTCACAATATTATTAGCATAAACAATTATATTTGTTGGATTTCATTGACATACCTTCTTCTGTCTAGAATGGTAGGTTTATATAAATTATTTTAGACTGATATTTTATTCAGTCTACTGATAACACCAACGAAGACCTGCTGAGACCACTTCTATCAGCTAAACACTTGTTCTACAAGGGTGAAATCAGTTACCTTTTCACAGAAATAAGTGAATGTTTTCAGTATTATCTGAGTATAAAATTAAATAAAAAAATTAAAATCATCCCCTAAGATATCTAAATTTTGTGTCACATTGTTTTGCGGACTTACTGCATTGAAAAACACTTCAACTCTCTGGGCCAGGAACAATCTCTTCCTTGCACTTTTCTAAGTGCAATAAAATCTCATCTAGAACAGGCATCACTAGCCTGTGTCTCATGGAAACAACCTCCCCCTAGAATGGAAATGGTTTAAACATGTTGAGATTACAATAAAAACATAAAACTTCTCATCTTTTCATGGGTTATTCAGCCTGTCTGGGAGAGCTGATGTTGGACAAACCCTAAAGACTCTGCAGTTGAAGAGATGGGAGATGAGTCATGACCTCCCTGCTGCCTCTGCCTGTGCCAGGTTGGCTGGCAGGATTGAAGTGAAGGCAGTGAGAGGAGAGGGCAGCCCTTGAAAGGAAAAATGCTCCCACTTCTCCTATGGTCTCAATCAGAACACACCAAAACTTTTCTCCAAGCTTGAAAGCAAAGAGGATTCTAAAATCCTTCCTTCCTCTGTTGCCAAAGTTCCCCAGAGTAGATCCAATCCCATATTCTTATTTTTCTGAGCAAGCAGACTTTGACCAGGAAAAATTACAGATGATAAGAAAAATACAGACTGGAGAGAGCCCCAAATGGAAAATTTCTTATTCTGTTGCCTTAGTGATTTGACATGGTTTAAAAACCAACCAACAAGACAAAAATCCCCAAAATTCAAACAACTTGATTTAGGTCAAGTTAATATAATAGAAGAGCAGAGTTTATTAAAATTGATGTTTTCAAATGAGGTCAGAATTTAAATTTCAAGGACAGGTTGGAAGGCACTAGGAGCAACCTGGTCTAGTGGAAGGTGTCCCTGCCCATGTCAGGGGGTGGAAGAAGATGACCTTTAAGGTCCCTTCCAATCCAAACCATTCTGGGATTCTGGGATTCTGTTGATGGGGGTAACCAGAATATTTTTGTCTGACCTTGGGTGAGTCCCTTTCTCTTCCTTCACCTTTTCTTCCTGGGTGGAGAGATCCATTTTCTTTCTGAGTCAAATTCCAAGTTTACAGAAGTCTTTAGGAGCATTTCCATTGACATCTCAGGGCTCTGGACCAGCCCATCAGGAATTATGCCATGACTTGTTCAGATGTGGAAAAATTGCATTTGAAGCCTCCAAATGCTTCTACATTATAAATAATAGTCAACGTTTCATCAAATTAATTCAGCTGGCTATCAAATCAGATCATGGTTACAACTGATAAAAGCCTGAAACGTTTGTTGATAAGAACTGCCTTATTTTCATTGGTTCCAATTGAAATGGAGAAAAGGCCAAAAATTCAGAAATGTCTTAGAAGGTGGAATTGCTGGAGCATTTCCTCTCAGCAAATTAATACAACTTTATTAAAATTCCATATATACACAACCTGAAATGTCCTTTTTTTTCAGGTGAATCACATATTGAAGCAAAACAGACAAAATTATTAAATTTGAAAGTATTGAAACAGTGCCAATTTATTCTTGATGTGTTGGATTTTGTTGAGTTAGTGAGTATCAACAGTATGTTAGAATTTAGTGATATCCCCTATTTTCTGTCTGAAAAAAATTTTATCCATAACCAATTGAGTCTTTTCTAACACCAATTAATTCTGATCATAGAACAAATCCCATAATAAATGATATATGTGATCAAAGGTCTAACAAATTGCTCAGAAATGTTGAGATTATATGATAGATTTTCTTTCTTTGGGAATCATATGCAGATATGGCACCAGCCACAATATGATAAAAGACTTGGAAGAAACAAACTACCTGTAAACATTTCCCATTCATTATCTTGAGTTTCTGCTACCGTGTGACAAATCATTAGTCGTAGTGTAAGGCAAGCTTTAAAAATGTAATTACTTAATCATGCAGTTAGTTCCCCATCAATCCTACCAGCACTTGCTCTTAACTAGCTTTAAAGAACAAAATTAGGAGTAATTTGTAAGCAAAAGTAATTGAGGGAAGGCTGATATTGCCAAGGTGTTGACAGCACTGCACATGGTGTTTTTCTCTTTTAATTCCCTGGCAAAGCAGTGGTCTGCAAAATTTGCTGAGCAGCACTGCTGGCTGGTGGAGCCTTAAAACCTGTCCTGGTGTCCCAGGACTGAGGTCAGGAATGGGAATTGTCCCCACTTTGTGTCACCACCTCCGTGGGCAGCAGAACGGTGGCGTGGGATGAAGAACGGATTGGTCCATGAGACCCGGATATTAGCCCTGCAATCAATCCTGTTTGGATTTCAGAGATTGCAGCATCAGTAACAGCATAGCGCCAGAAAAGGGAAAGGATATGTTGGGAGCAAGAAGAAACAGAGCTTTTAGTCAGTGGATGTTATAGTTCATAAAACCCCAGGGTATCTAAAATAAGGTAAAGGAAAAATGGATGGTGAATGGAATTTTTTTTATGTGATCTGTTTGACTGGAGAGTGTACATTAAACAAAACTTGAACTATCATAAGGAGGAAAAAAAAGGCACTTTTAACCCTCTTTTCACCTGTGAAAATTCTGAAAAAAGATTTTAAATTATTCAAGAGACTGGCCTTTTCATTGGCAAGGATGAAAAAGTCTAGTGCCTTGATTTTAATCAACTTATGAACTGCAGTGGCTGCATGTGTAAAAAAACAGTGCTGGCAACAGGACCAGGGCAGGGATTGTCTTTTTGTGCTGGGCACTGGTGAGGCCACACCTTGAGTCCTGTGTCCAGTTCAGGGCTCCTCTATTCAGGAAACACCCTGAGGGGCTGGAGCGTGTCCAGGGCAGGGAACGGAGCTGGGAAGGGGCTGGAGCACCAGGAGAGGCTGAGGGAGCTGGGAAAGGGGCTCAGCCTGGAGAAAAGGAGGCTCAGGGGGGCCCTTCTGGCTCTGCACAACTCCCTGACGGGAGGGGACAGCCAGGGGGGGTCGGGCTCTGCTCCCAGGGAACAGGGACAGGACAAGAGGAAAGAACCACAGACTGTGCAAATATTTATGAAATCAGGCAGGAAAAATAAAATTATATTTCTTTCTTATTTTAAGCCCCCCCCCCAAAAAAAACTACAAACAAACAAACAAACAAACAAAAACCAACCAAAGAAAACAAAAAAATAAAAAACCAAAAAAAACCCAAGCCAAAAAACCCAGATGGATATTTTACAAGATTTTTTTTTCTCTTGGGAAGATTAAGTTTCCATGCAAGATAATGCAGCTGGAGGTAGACTGTTCAGGGAGATTCCTCTACACCTGTCAAGTATGCCATGGAGGAGAAAAAGACTGAGAATAGTCAAGTCAAATGGAAAAATAGAAGTGGAGTTTTCTAAAGGAAACTTCCCTACTTTTTATCAAATAATTCATGAAAATTTATTTCAGGATGTGTCTCTATTGAAAACTGGCTATTTCTTTTAGGAAAATTTGGTCCTGATTTGGGAGGAAGAGGCATTAGGTCAGTTTTCACACTTTTGCAGCAGCCAGCAAGGCATGATGAACTAAAGAAAGAACGAAATTAAAAGAGTTTTATGACACTGTGATCTATGCCCTCCCAAATGCTTGCAGGGATACAATGGGAGAGAGTGGTTTTTCAGAAAAGAGAATCCTTCTGGTCAGGGATGAGGGCTGAAGAAGTATATTCAAAGGGAATGTGAGCTGAAGAAGAAAGTAGAAATGGTTGGTGAAGGTTAAAGTTCACTGTAGAAAGTGTCTCTATCCCAGCGTAACTGAAACTAATTAAGTGTGATTGCAACCCATTTCTTTTCAATAATTGTGCCTGTGGGTTTATTTAGGACATAATGTTGAATGATCTCTTAAGTCACAGTCCTTGTGACACCTGATACGATTGCAGTGTGTTTGTGTCAGCCACCTCATCTCCACCAAGGGTTGGGGGGTTTAATAAGAACCACACAATCAGCTCATCTCAATAACTTCTAAATTACTTGAAACTCTGGCTATTAAAACCTTGCCTTCTTCCCATACTCTTGTGTTGGCTGTGAGTAGAAAATAGGGAGGGAACAGAAGGAAAGTTACTTTGATAGGTGTCCTGGTTTAGGGCAAATCTGGGAGAAAACCTCCGAACGGGGCCCCTCCTCCAACTGGTCCAGGAAAAAAAATTGCTTAGAAAAAGTGGGGAAAATAAATGTTTATTTAATAGAAATTTTATATTAAACAATAAAACCTCTTGCTGTTCATGAAAAGTCCTTTTCATGGGGTGTAGCTCGGCTCGCTCAGGTTCTTATCAGTCCCTGACGAGGCCCAGGCCCTGGTGGGCCACAGGCCTGAGCTCCCGGGGTTTGTCTGGGTTTTCAGACCAGAGCAGGTTTGAACAGATCCAAGGAAAAAGGAAAAAAGCAGTCTGGAGAAATTCCCTGCCTCAGCTAGGTAAAAACCAACAGCAAAGGAGAGCTCTGTCCCGCTGTCTGTCCATGCTGCAGACAGCACAATCCAGGAGCAGGATGCAGGGCAGTGAGGGCTCCTTCTCAACACAAACTGCGGCCTCTTCTTCCCCCCACTTCACCTCTTGAAGGTGCAGAACTTAATATGTAACATAAGGCAACTAGGGATACAAGCATCACAGAGTCACCACGTGACAGTAGGGCAAGGGGAACTTGGCTTCAAAATCTAAGAAGATATATTTAGATGAGATATTAGGAAGAAATTTTTCCTTGTGAGGATGATGAGGTTCTGGCACAGGCTGTCCAGAGAAGTTGTGGCTGTCCCATCCCTGGAAGTGTCCAAGGCCAGGTTGGATGGGGCCTGGAGGAATCTGATCTGGTGGAAGGAGTCCCTGGCCATGGAGGGTTGGAACTCCTCAGTCTCTGAGGTCCCTTCCAACCATTCTAGGGTTCCATGGAATGCTGCACACTCACAGCTCCAACTTGGTGCTTTGCATCTTGGCATTTCAGAGGCATGGAGGAAATCATCCCAAGCAATTCATTCAGGTAATTGAACATCTTTTCCTTAGAGATATTGTGTGGGTGGACCATGATTTTAATTTTTCATTTTCATTTTCACTGCTGGTTTAACCAGCAGGTATTTCAGCAACAGAAAGAAGTGTTTGCCCCTAAGGAGGGGGGTTTAGTACTGAGTAACATATAAAGCATTTAAGGAGAGATAAGCCAACTTGAGACATCCAAAACCAAGGGAAAAGGCAGTGTGAACTCACCCAACAGAAACCATTTGCTCCTCATGAACTCTCACCCCAAACTCCACACTGTCTAAACTCTAAGGATGGGTCTTGTTTAAGCACTACATAATATGATGGTACCCAGTATTCAATAAAATCACTGAAACTCTTCCACGGTGCCGCAGATTCACTTGCTGAACATGTCATGAGGCAAAATTTTATAGGCATTGTAAAATCTTTTTACCACACACAGCTGCATTACCCAAAATGATTCAAATCTGCAGGGCATCTGAAACACACACTACAGCAATAATAGGCTTTGCTGCTTAAAAAGTGATTATGACTAATGCACAAAAACAATTATCACCAAGCTTAATTGCAAAGGATTAAGCACAGTATATATATATGTATATAACTATGCATACCTACATTTAAATTTATGTTCATATATATCATATTCCATATCTAGGGTCCTACTAGGAAAGAGGATCTAACAAAAATATAGATGAGGGGAGTGTGGGTGTTTCTGGAGGAAAAAAAAGAAAATAATATAAAGCGAAAAATAAGCCCACAAAACCCAGAAAGAGATCGTTCAACAGAAGATATGGAAGTCATCCAGAAAGTACAGACAGTGATCTGAGTGTTAAAGGTGACAGGGGTTTACTGAGAATGATTATATAGAGTTCTGTTGGAGCTGAATGTTCATTGATAGCACTTTCATTTTGAGAGTGATCTGCAGCGGATCCTCTGGTGAAGACCACAAAACATGAAAAAAGGTTAAATTCTATTTATTCTCTGCATATCTATTCCTATCTTCCAGGAAAATAAGTTTTTAAAGAGTTTATAATCCAGAAGTACAACCTGTGCCTTTATTTATTCCCATCCTTGGAAATGTCCAAGGTCAGGCTGGACAGGGCTAGTGGAAGGTGTCCCTGCTCACAGCAGAGAATGGAATGAAATTAATTTTAAGATCTCTTCCACCCAAACTGTTCTATCTTCTATGATTTCTAAAATATGAGTTTACTTGTCTTTCATTACCTTTTTTCTAGTTTCTTTATGAAAGAGCTTATATTTTTGGCCTCAGTAACCGTATTTTCACAAACTCCAGTTCCTAAATTATCTGCCCTATGTACTGATATTCTGCCAGGCTATCAAGATTGTCTTGCAGTATGATCTAGAGAATGGTGTTGTATTTCTACACTGGCTAAATCCAGGATTGCTCATAGCATTTCACACCTGCCTACTGCCCAGCCCCACCATATCAGGTAGACTCAGTGTATGTATAAACTTCTCCTATAAAGCAGCAGAACAGGTACTAACTGCTTTATTGCTATCATTGTTTGAAGAGGTTATTGTTATTTTTTCTGAGCTTCCAGCTGTGATGGTCCTTAAAGAAGAAGGCAGTTGTGATTAAAGTAGAAACAATTAGGAAAAATGAGCTAAACCCTCAACTGTTGCCAGCTTCATTGACTTCAAGAAAATTAGGTCAAGTGATGTCAATTGGGGCCCCACCAGTTGAGTTATCTTTTTCTTCTGCTTCAGGCTTTTGCTGTGACCTTCAGTAATTACACCATGCAGCAGGCACACAAGTGGAGAGACTAAGTTGTTTAAAATGAGGTGGATAAAACAGAAGAAAAAAATACAATGATTATTATTAGTATGAATTGCAGTAAGGCCCATAGGCTGTAAAAGGCAATATTTGTAGTGTGCAATCAAACATGGATAGGATGATGCCCGGGAACACTCTGTTCCACCAGTGAGGCTCTGTCAAGCAATCCTTTCACCCCTGGCTGTGGATCACTGTGTTAATAACTGTGTCAAGGCTTCCTTGATTGTGCTGCTACAGATGAGTCGTTTGATGCAGTTTTAGACTCTGAGGCTGCCTTTGAATTAGCAAACCTGCAGCAGCAGGTCAGTGGCACAGTGTATTGCCTCCCATTACATCCTTAGTGCACCCACTGGATTGTGTTTAGCTGTATTTTTACAGAAAAACTCACATGAATGGTTTGGGCAGCAGCACTGGAGCACTCCCCATCAGCAATTTGGATTTGAGGGTGACAGTGTTATGTGTGTGTGGATATAAACACTGCTGTGCCAGCTGCTCTGGCTCCCAGAATGGTCCCTGGCACTGTTTAAACATGCAACATATGAACCTGAAGAAAATCCAGTGTAGCTCTACAGTATCTGTTTACTCTATACTCAGATATCTCCTATTGAAAACTGAGGTTCCTGAATTTATGGTGGACAAAAATTATGTATTGACATAAAGACCAGGAAAATACAGGCATTCTGCTTGGCTGCTCTACAGGTATGGATCTTAGGATTGTTTTGGCTGGATTTATTATTTTTTAAATAATTAGATTGCCCAAAATTTTGGAGCACATAGTTATCCTTCATTATTTATGTTTTATTAAAGATTGATTTCACTTAATCTAAAATTTAGGCATGTGGCATTAACTCAGCAGCTGCTATGGTGGAAGGAGAGACAAACTTCTTGAGAAGAAAATTTGCCCCACATCTCTTAGATGTGTCTTTCCAGATGGGACAAATGTCCTTGTGGATGTGTACCTCCTCCTCTATCAACCATTAAGGGAGCCCAGATGAGTTGCTTGGGATGTATGCCTGGTGTTTTAATGATAAAATTAAGGAATGAATCACATTCACAAACCTGGGGTTTGCTGAAGGAGGCTAGAACTCCCAAAGGCCTACAAAAGTTAATGAGAGTTAGGTGTTTAAAGCCAAAATTTTGATAGATCAAGGCTAGATCTGCTAGAGAAATATAGATTTTTTTTTTCTGATTTTTTTTCCAATAAGGCTCACTCCACATGACATTCTGGTTAGGTAGAACTACATCTTGAACTTTTGAAGGATGTCTTAAATGTTTAAATTCAGTTGTTTGGAAACCAGAGGAAAAGTTATGCAAAGCCTAAAAGAGTTAAAAATTGATATCTTTATTTTTTTTGCATTGACTTTTAATCATATTTATGTGACTTTTTTATATTCATGTCATATTTGAAAAATTAATTCTAGTTTTTTTATTGGTGATAAACTGAACCTTTCTTGTTAAAAATCTGGTGTCTTTTAAAAATTCAAAGTTTGAGGAAAATGTCAGCAGAAAGACCTGATTTTTTACTCAAAGGCTGCTGTGTTTTGCATTTCTGATGGAAAAAAAAAAAATCAGGAAAATATTTATTAGCTCTTTAGGAGAACATCTGTTTGTGATTGACTTAAGTCATTAGTCTGGTGTTTTTGTTTTGCTTTTTATTTTTTTTTTTTCTCTTGAGAACCAATCTTCAATCTTGTTTCTATCCTTTCTAATAAAAATCTCTGATTTTCCTCTATCAGTTTTGAAGAGACCAAAACGCTCCATTTTCACGAGGGGGAGAAAATAGCAGTGATTAAGTTGAGCTCTGCACCTCTCAATAGAAAACAGATATTTTTTATGGAAAGCGGCCACAGCTGCACATAACAACATGCATTAGTGCATCTTGCAGGGAAATGAAATCGAACAGCAAGACACGATCATAAGCCTATCTTGGAGTGTAGTCAATTTGTCCAGTAAATATTGTGGCATTAACAGTTTTATTTGTTGATCATTTCTGATGTTAATGGTAATGGGCCCCTTTGGTATTGGGATATTTATGTCTGACAGCGTGGTGCAATTTACATTAATAAGACTCATTAATTTCAGATGGTTTCTACTATGGAGGAAGGAAATATTAGAAGTGTTTTGTGGGGGTTTTTTCCAGCATTAGTCTCTCTCTCCATACAGCACAGAGCCGCTAAGCTGCATGGCTGTACAACAATGAATGCTCCCTTGTTGTTGCTATTAATGATTTCCTTGCCTGCCAAAGTTGAGAGTGGATAGCTGCCTCTTGGAGAAACTGTAGTGATTCCAAATTTTCTTAGATTTTTCTTCTTTTCCTTAATTTTTCTTTTTTCTATTCCCCCATTTTATTTTGTTTTTTTGAGTTTGTTTGTTTATTGTGGGGGTTTTTTTGAGTTTTTTTGCTTTTTGAGGTTTTTTAATGTTGGTTTTATGGTTTTTTGGTGTCTGTAGAATTCATAATCTCAAGCAAAACCAAGAAGAATTTCTATTTCCTCCTCCCATTTCCTACATCCTCTTGGCTTCCATGATAATGACAATCTTGGCCATCATTTAGAATCTGGATGCTAAAATTAATTACAACTTTGTGGGAGGATCTATAAGAGAAATGACAATTCCTTCCTTGAAAATGGTACGAATGACTCAGTTCTTTCCTGTGTTCAATTTTTATAACAGGAAATAGAAAGCTAATTACTGGTTATTAAGGGGTTTCTAAATATCTCTCTCTTTTATTAGTTGGACAATGAACAGTTACTTCATATGAGATGGGAAAAGTCAAAGCAAATAATTTATTGGGACTGATTTCCATAATGGGTTTTCAGGCACAGACTCACGGCACTGGCAGCTGACATGACAGCCACTGTCCTGCCTTAGCTACAAAATGGTTTTCATTCTTCATGAAAATGGAAAATTCAGTATTTTAGCTCTTTAAAACTGAGACAGATGTACTGGACAAAAGTGCACTGACTCACACTGTCTAATTCCACAGTGTGATGATTCTGCTTTCATTTGGGTGGGGAGCTGTGTTTTTTAATAAAAATGTGAGGGTTTAGTTCTGGGGAAAAAGCACCAAACAAGAACTAAGGGTTTTATTCAGGTCTGATTGAAAGAAAGAGAGTTGGGGTTGTTCAGCCTGGAGAGGAGAAGGCTGAAGGGAGACCTCAGAGCCCCTTCTGGTGTCTAAAGGGGCTCCAGGAGTACTGGAGAGGGACTTTGAACTGGGACATGAAGTGACAAGACATGGGAGAATGGCTTCAAATGGACAGAAGGCAGAGTTAGATTATAGATGAGGAATAAATTCTTTTCTGTAAGGCTGATGAGTCCCAGAGATGCTGTGGCTGCCCCATCCCTGGAAGTGTCTGAGGCCAGGATAATACAATGGTTTGGGTTGGAAGGGACCTTAAACATGATCTAATTTAATCCCTGCCATTGGCAGGGGCACCTTTCTCTATCCCAGGTTGCTCTGAGCCCCATCCAACCTGGCCTTGGACACTTCCAGGGATGCAGGGGCAGCCACAGCTTCTCTGGGCACCCTGTGCCAGGGCCTCACCACCCTCAAATACTTCCTATACCTTCATATTCTCTCCAGGTGTTTCTAACCACCTTATTTTTCTATCAGTTCTTCTTTCACTGATTGAATAAAGAGATGAGGTTTGGTGAGCACAAATAGCCCTGCACAGATTTCCCCCTTTTTCATAACTCGTTGACAGTTTCATTATTTCTGTTCAAACGAACCGGAAGCGTAAATTCACGCTCTTCCCCTTTGCCTGACCGCGGGCAGATGCTGAACAGCAGTGGGAAAAATAACTGTGTCCCTGTTTCCCTGAAGCAAACCAAAATTGCTACCCCTGGAGCTGAGTGAGATTTCAGGGGCAAGCTGAGAAATGCACATTTCTCATGATGATGTGCTGATTAAACTTTCCTCTTTGTGTGTTCACGTCCTTTATTTGCATCAAAGACCAGAGTGGCTCTGTCTGTAATGCAAACTCCCCCTCTGTGGGTACTTTCTGATGCTGCCAACAAAAAAAAATGCAATAAAACAGTAAAGGGAGATATAAAATAAAAATAACAATGCAATGGAACAAGTTTACTATGCCAAATTAATGTCCTTATGGTACCATTATATTAACGCTCCAATTCATATTTACGTGGTGACTGCAGAAAAATACAGATAAGTTTTATTTTCTCCCACTGTCCCTCCTTCTTTGCAGCCATACAGTTGTCTTTCATATGAGCAGCTTGTGGGTGTCACCTACTAATTCCCCAAGATGCAACTTTATAAATGCACCAGGCAACATCAGGGTAAGTCTTCTGCAGGCTGGGGCATGAACAGATCAAGAACCAAAGAGGATTTGGGGCGTTTGGGATATTTGGAGGGGCTGGTGGGTGAGAAATGGCCATGTCCCATCTGTGTGCTCATTGGACCCCACACCCTGGGCTGATCTCCCAGTGTGGGCAGCAGGGGAGGGAGGGATTCTGCCCCACTGCCCTGCTCAGGTGAGACCCCACCTGCAGAGCTGCCTCCAGATCTGGGGTCCCAGCACAGAAGGACATGGACCTGACATGACCACTAAGATGATCAGAAGGATGGATCATCTCTGCTATGAGGAAAGATTGAGAGATTTTGGATTCTTTGGCCTGGAGAAAAGGAGGCTTCAGGGTGACCTGACTGAGCCCTTCCAGTACCTGAAGGAGCTGACAAGAAAGGTGAAGACAGACTATTTTCAGGGGCATGTAGTGATAGGACAGAGGGGAATGGCTTCACACTGAGGGTAGGTTTGGATGGGATTTTAGGAGAAAATTCTTTACTCAGAGGGTGGTGAGGCCCTGGCACAGGGTGCCCAGAGAAGCTGTGGCTGCCCCATCCCTGGAAGTAATAAACCACAGCCAATAACCCACTTTAATCAACCCAAGTACATACATTAGAATCATTTATCTTTTTAGGGGCAGATTTGCCACCTATGAGAATTAAGACCTAATTCTGGTTTCTTCTCCAATCAAATCTTACCAATACTTGAAAGTGATGTAATGTTTAATGTGAGTGAATAAGAATCAGAGACTTATTTTTCGTTTTTTAGGATAGGCATAGATGGGAATCAGATTGCACCCTAATAGAAAAAAAATTACAACTATTTATTTTTAATTTTGCCCAAGTTGAGATATTTGACTAGAAAATTATTTGTCCGTAGTTTACATCCAGCTGCTTGCTTTTTGTTTTGATTTTAGCCTTTTTCCTCTTGCAGGGTAGTGAGTCTGATTTTTATATTTATATTTTTTTTAATCTTTTGAAATGTTTATACTAAAAGATTTTACTTTTCAAAAGAACAAGAAGAAAGAATCATGAAGATATTATTAGTCCTGCTTGAGGAATCACTTAAAACAAGATCAGGGATGTTGTTCATGTGAAACCTTCCCAGATTTGGCCAAACTATAAGTATTTGGAAACTGCTCAGTAATAAGACAATGCAATTATCCAGTGGTTTAGTCTGAACTCAGCATGATTCAGCCCCTTACGTCTCCTGGAAAACTGTAGATCCTTGTCTGCTTTTCCTAGCTCCTTGGTCCCAGGGCTGGGCAGCCTGGGACTGGGAGTCTGTAAAGTACATGGAGACAAGGGAAAACCTTATGAGCAGCTTAGCAGGGGGCTTTTGATGTGGTGGTAGAGAGCTGCAGCCAACTCTGGCTGCTGGATACCTCTGTCAATGGGAGCTGAGGTTTGAATCCTGTGGGTAGATTTGTGCTGGCAGAGTGCAGATCAGAGGAAGGAAAAAGAAACTGTGGAGTCCATTAAAAAATTATGTGATGGAGAAATGTGAGTCTAATTTTGTTGTTGTTTCTAGATTTTAAAACCTTAGGTGATTACCTGGACAGAGAAATAATTCAGGTTGTTTTTTTTATGGAAACCAAACTACAGACAGAGAAATAATTCAGGTTGTTTTTTTTATGGAAACCAAACTACAACATGCTGTTGGAGCCAGCGCAGAGAAGAACACAAAGGTGCTCTGAGTGCTGGAGTCCTCCTGCCCTGGGGACAGACTGAGAGCTGGGAGGGACCAGCCTGGACAAGAGAAGGCCAAGTGGACATTTTAGTGCCCCTTCCAGTGCCCAAAGGGGCTCCAGAAGAGCTGGAGAGGGACTTAGGAAGAGGGTCTGGAGGGACAGGACACAGGGAATGGCTTCCCACTGGAGATGTCCCTGCCCATGGCAGAGGAGGTGGAATGAGAGAATTTAGTGATAATATAAGTTCCAGCCCAAGTCCTTCTCTGAACCTATGATTCTATGCTATAGTATCTTAAAAAAATTATCTTAAGGAGTAGTTGTATGCTGGCAACCTTCATCCCAGAGCTGCTATATTTCAGAATTTTCTTATTTAACATTCTGGGAAGATTCTTTACTCAATTTTTTTAAATTTGTGTCTGTCCCCATCCAGGTGAACCCACTAATTTTTCCCTGTAATTCTGAGTCTATCCATGTCCTGTTTCAAAGCGGAGACACTTGACTACTGGGCTTCTCACAGTGCCCTGAAAGCTGCAGCCTGTTTTCTCCTAGAAAACTTAGGAAAAGGAAATAAATTAGTTTAACCACTCCCAATGCCAGTTATCAAATTATATATAAATATTGCTTTCTCCATCCAGTGACACATACATCTACTTAGAGTTAGCAGTACAGAAACCACTTTCTGAAAGGTGCCCATGTCCTTGACAAGAGCACCAGGATATTTTCATGGGACAGCTGCATTTGCAGTTGTTCCTCCATATCTGAGCATATTCCCTAAGTGGATTTGCTGTTGCTTCTCTGCTAAAAACAAGGTTCCCATTCTCAACGGTGACACAGCTTGAAATAAATCTATGTTACTTTAAAAAAAAAAAAAACCAACAAAAAAAACCCCACCGTTAAGAGTAAATTAAAGCAGATACGTGGGCTTTGATCAAGTTACAAGCAGGCAGAAGTGTTAATATACTGGAGCATTTTCACAGCGGAAATGAATTACACCATGGGCCATGCAACTGTAAAGTCGAGCGGAAATTGTAACAAAAAAAAAATCAACGACTGAGTCTAAACTGTGAAGGATGTTGGCAAATGTCCAGGAAAAGGTATGGCTGGTGCCAAGCTTGCATAAAAGAATGGTTTAACAGTCACTCCAATTGCTATAACTGCCGGGGTTTTTTTTGGGGTTTTTTTTTTTTTCTCTCTTTCCTTTTTTTTTTCTTTCCTTTTAGCTGTTTTTCCTATTGTAACTAATCTCATTAAATAAGGCCCATTGTCTCTCCCCCTCAGACAACAGGCTCATTCACAGGAGCTGTGCCACGCATTGAGATCCTTCAGCAGGGTCTGAAAAGGACAACAGAACGTCGTAAAAAAATAGGATGGATTGAGTGCGTTCCACCCTGAAAGGCAGGAAAAAGCCTTCACAGCATGTCTGAAATTCAGCACCATTTGAAGACATCTATTGGAAAAGCTTGTGTGAAATCCTATCAATGTTTAAGATTATTGGGAGGTGGGAGAGAGGAGTTTTGGGCATGTCTGATGATTCCATAAACCTATGGCAGTGTGACAAAAGAGGGGATCAGCCACCAGGATTAGTGTGGGGGTGACAGAAGGAAGGCAAAATTAAATGCAGAAAAAGGTCAAGTTTGAGGATCTAATACAACTCCCTCAGTGGAAATGGTAAGATCTGCATGAAGCAATTAAAGAATTCAAGCAACTCTAGTTATAAAATACCTCATCACTTATCCACCCCTTCCCTTTATTGCAAAAAAAACTTGGTTGAATGAATGTTTATCATGAAAAAATTTCTCAGAAGATAAAAGAAATTACCCTAAACTTAGTTCTAACAAGAGCACAGAGATGGGTAAATGATCATCCTTATAACTATTACTATGTGTAACCAGTGTTTGTAACTAAAATTCCAAGACAAGTCAACATATTTGAATTCATTCTGACACCCTGGGAGAAGAGGCAAACCCCCAGCTCTGTTCAACTCCCTCTTTTAAGTAGTTTAAATGTTCAGCTCAAACTCTCTGCACTTCCTCTGTAGGATCTTATATAAAACTGATGGCTAATAGACTGTCTGTCCTGTTTAAAGGGAAAAATAATTAAGAATTTGGCTTGAAATTTATTTATCTGAGTGTGACCAATACCTTTCAATTTTACTACAGAAAGTCAAGGTCTTTTGGACTTTTGACCATCAATGAACAGCAAATGCTGTGGTTGAGGAAAATTTCCCTGGTTAGGAAAAAAAACCAGTATATGGTTTGAAAAACAAATGTATGGGCAGATAATGCTCAGGTATGAATATTATCCTCAGAGCAATGATAGCTAAAATGTCAAATTCCAGGTGAGTTTCCATTGCACCAATGGAGGACAATATGTGGAATCCGTGTGAATTAAATAACTGTATTCTGGAGAACAATGTTCTCACTAAGGAAATGCAGTAAAAAGTTGAAACTTCACAGAACCTGTAACAATAGGAATAAAGCACAAATATTAAGTATATTAATAATAACTGTCATGTTACATCCCAGAAGGTTTTTTCCTCAGCCTTGGCACTTCTCTCCACAGCAGTTTTCATTAGTGGTTGCAGTTAAGACCAGCAAGAATCTGTTCTTTCCATTTCTATTAACATTTTAAGAAACAGGGACATTGTGGGCAAATCAAACTCAACTGGAACAGGAGGTAAATCCCTCAGCCACATCCAATTTGGATTCCTTTTTCTAGACAGAGCTAGTGTAGATTTAAACCTGCTGAATTAGTCATGATTTGCAGTCAGGTCAGCGAGAGCTGACTCAGATTGTTGCTATGAGGTGTAAGAAGACTCTTGGTGCTCGTCTGGTGTAAGCCATCTACAGCACTGAAGTCAACAGAGCTAATTATATTTAATTATTTATACAGGCAGATAAAATTATTCATAATTTATACCTGTTGATCTGCATCCCCCATGGTTTTAGTGCTTTACATAAAAGTTCAGTACCTGGACAGTTGCTGTGTGATACATCTGGTCTCGTAGTTCAGTAATAGAGATGTTTCCAGAAAGAGTAGTTAAACCTATTTGCAGAGCCAAGAAAAATATTGCTGATTACTTATAATATTTGGATCCTCCAATAAAGGGTTTGACTTTAATGAAAGTACTTTTCATGTCTTGGCTGTGGCATTGCGTGGGCAACACACTAGTAAGTGGGAATGCACTGAAGGATTATTTGCTATCATGGATCTCTCCTGCATATTTTTGTACACAGATAAATTATGAATTCCTTCATAAAAAAGTTGTTGTGAAAAGGTATGGCCTTACCACCTATCTGAAAATTCCTTACAGGAATTCTGAGAATTTCCTTCCAACTACCACATGTGAATTGCAAGGTAGATAATTTCCATGCACTGACATTCTTTCAAATATTTACTGTGCCTTGCATTCATTTATAAAAAGAGTTTGTTAGATTTTTTACAGAAAAAAAAGCTTACCTACTGTGAAATAAGATAATGAGAGTTAAAACTTTATAGGATGCAAAACCTTTGGAGAAATTTTGGTTACTTTGTGGCTCTTACACATAACAAGGATCAAAAAGGAGCCATTCTTTACACACCACCAGGAATAATGTGAAAAATAAACAGTAGTAATTCACCCCCAGGCACATTATTTGTACCAGCTCTTACGTAGACTCACAAAATCAGAAGTGTCCATGCTGCTCTTCACCTTTCCTCCATTGCTGCTGTTGGGCAGTAGAGCCATGGGTGTGGTCCACTGCTTTTTGATAAAAGGTCAGGCTGCTCCAGAATCTCACCTCACCAAATCTGAGAATCACAGAATGGTTTGGGTTGGAAGGCACCTTAAAGCTCATCTCATTTCAACTCTCTGCCATGGGCAGGGGCACCTTTCTCTATCCCAGGTTGCTCTGAGCCCCATCCAACCTGGCCTTGGACACTTCCAGGGATGCAGGGGCAGCCACAGCTTCTCTGGGCACCCTGTGCCAGGGCCTCACCACTCTCACAGGGAAGAAATTCTTCCTAATATCCAACCTACATCTGCCCTCCTTCAGATTAAGGCCATTCCCCCTTATCCTGGCACAGCTCTCCCTTGCAAAAAGTCGTTTTACAGCCATCTTGAAGGCTCTCTTATGTACTGGGAGGTGCTAAAAGTCATCTCTTTCCGCATCCATCACCAAAGTGAACAGCAAGGTTTGGTCAACAGAATAATTATTTCTTTTAAGAAATTCTTAGACCTTACCACAGCTTATTTACAGGCATATTTTCTATTCCTTATCCACAGTTCAAATACATTCACTTTTTTGCTGGTATAAGTATGTTATGAATTTCTGACATTGCCTATTCCACCCACGTGCCAATAGGATATGATGGTATTTGGGACAGGAAGAGTGGGATGAACTTCATCTAGCTCCATCAGCCACAGAAATAGATTTTTAAATCTCAGCCATTTACCACATCTCCTTTTAACTTCTTTAAAGCATCAGATCTGCTCTGAGGATGTTGGTTTCAAACATCGCATTTTAATCACTCACAGGTGTTTCCACACTGCCCCACTCTTGTCGGTGTCTCTGAGGCAGATTTTGGAGTGCAGTTCATCTGTGTGAACGTACAGTCTTCCTTCAGGATTCGTTGTGACATTCTTCCCATCCTATTGACTGAATTAACTCACTCCTAGACTTAAACTGGGATCCAAAATACTCACACAAATATCATGGATGTCTGGAGTCAGGAGAGCTGAATCACGGCTCAATGATTACGTTGGATGCAGTTGTCTATATGTGGAGACACTATCTTGCTCAGATTTAATTCTGCTTTAATTAAATTTTTCTTTCTTTAATATATACTTTTTAAATTCTGTCTGTCACCAATTGGCTCCAAATTTTTACTGCAGTTAAAATAAATAGCTTCTAAGTGTAATACATTTACAATTCTCAATCTGACTTGCAGAATAAAACTCCAAACCCACAAGAAAACCTGATCTCTCCGGACCTTGTGAAGAAAAATATCCCCTTTTTATTGGACTTCATGCTCTGTTCTGGTTCACTCTTATTATAAACTGTTGTTGATTATCTAATTCTTCTGGGCATATGAGCAATGCCAGAATGTCGGTTTTATATTAAAAGGATGTAGTTTAAAAAACAAAACAAAACCCTAAATACAGAAATAAAATATGTGTTTAATTAGGGCTTTAATCTTTCCTGAGCTCATTAAAAAAAAAAAAAAAAAAGTGGGGAATGGATGCCCATAGGGTCTGATAATATTTTCCTAGAGTGAAAACTGCTCCTACAGTATATATTAGTAAACATCCATTTGTGTTAGTAATTAACTTCAGCGTTTTGGTATCCATTTATTTCTCCTGATTTCATGTTCTGGTCCAGATCATTGTTAAATGAGCAACACCATAATAGCCTTGATAAAAGTGTTTGGACAATTGTTTTTCAGTTAAAGCTGAACCATAGCTCATCCTTATTTGCCCCAGAGCTGGGCTTGCAGATCACTCCAGATCTTTGCTTTTGGGCAGATGAGCTGTACAGAGAAAAATTCTATAAAAAATTCATATATTTTGAGGCTAGTGAACCCAAATTTAAGAATATCAAATTTCTCCAGGAAATAAAAATAGAATTTTCATTAGGCTGCAATAATATTAAAAAAAAATACATAAAGAAGAACAGAGGGGCGGGGGAGGGGAAAGGACAAATAAAAAGAAACATTTCAGGGAAAAAGTGGTCATAATACACAGAAAAAAAAACCAAAAAAGGCTTCTAGTATATAAATCTGTAACCACAAATAGATAAGCAAAGCACAAGAGGCATGAGGAAGCATGTGAAATTCCTTCCTCCATTAAGGAAGCCTGATTGAAAATATCTGCTGAAATCATAAATAAATAATCCCTGCACATAAATCTGAAGGAAAGAGGAAAATATATTGAAAGAGTAAAGATCACTGCAAAATTTCCAAATGTTGTCCTGAGAAACCCAGAGATATTTTTCAGTGTTGAAAGTGTTTCACTGACAGGGAGTAAAGGTATCTCAAAGATAGGTAAGGAACAGAGTGAAGGAAATAAATATTACTAAGTGGTTCAGAGGAAACTGAAAATAATTTACTGATCATGTAAAGGACTAAAATAAAATATAAAAATTAAATTAAAATGTTAATACTCTTCTTTAAATTATTAAATCTGAGCATACCTGCACATGTGCTTATGCCTATATCCCCTGTCTACAGATTTGTGGTGTGCATATTAAATAAGAGATTCAGAACTGTGTGTGTTGCTTTTAAGTAATTAAACTCCTTTTTAGTTTTTCAGTCCTTCTCTAAAGGAAATTTTTCCTAGAAATTACTTTCTATGAAAAAATGTTTCCAAAATCTTGAAAAATTTAAATATCTCACTAATGTAAAAAAGTTACAGGACACTTCAACCCACCTAAAAGAAATATGAGCAGGGGATATTTTCAAACCATCCTGTCCAGTTAAGTTTTTTTGTTTCAATTACTTCTTTCTTTTCACTCAGGTTAAAGGTGTTGCAAGGATCTCTTTTGAGCATGCAACATTACAGTTTTCGTGTGTGAACTCTCAGCCTGCTCCTGGTCATTTTTTTGATGACTGCCAGGCAGATTTGTCCAAAACTCTAGCAGAGAGCAAGCCAAAAATTACAGTCTATATCAGACTTTGGAAAAACATCTCAGTCTGTGCTCTGGCTCCTGCTAACTGCAATAGACAGAAAAGGGTAATGCTAATTTTCTGTGTAATATTGGCTGAGCCAATTAGGTTTTCAAACCTTTGTGCCTGAAGTTAAGCATATAAATTATTTTTAAGGTATTTAAATAAAATTGGTTAGGTTTTCTGAGAATCTTCTCAGTCAATTTGCTTTAGACTTCATTAAAACTTTAGGTGATCAGTGTAGCAGCATCATCCATGTCTGGGTTAAACTGAGACTTTTCCTTTTTATATTTTAAATCCCAATTTGGATTAGGAACTCAATTCTGAATTATGTCCTGAGCTTATTTCTAAACTTGCCAAGAGCAAAATTATTATAAAGCATCCCAGACAGATATCTTGTTCAGGACAGAGACTTAATCCATATAGGAAAACAAGAATTATCCTGCATATTTTAACATGGAAATTTCAGCATGTGTTTTCATTTGAAACCAAAAGTTTTTAACTTTTTTTCTCAGGGCAAAATAAGATGCACTTCCTTTCTCTAATGCTTCATATGCTTATCTGGGAAGTGGGCACCAGATGCACAATTTTACTTTGAGTAAACTGGGATATCCCAGCTGACTTTGGTTACTGGTGTTATTACTGAGCTATTGGTATAATTGGTATTGGTATTATTACTGGGATATTGATATCATAACTCGAATACATTTTGACTGGTAAATTTGACCACAGAACTCTTTGCTAGACTTGAGAAGTTATTTCAAAATATATAACATGACACATGACACATTTCTGTGGAAACTTGGTCTTAAATAACTGCTCTTTTCCAAACACAATATTTTATTCAGATTTCTAGGGTCTTGGAATTGGTGTTTTATGACCTATTAGGTTAATTGCTTGGGATCCTCCACACTCTTTGAAAGATCTGTCTTCAGCAGGAATAAGTTTTGCCTGTCAATTTGCCAAACAGACACAGGGAGATCAAGTTTATCCAACTGCTGCAAGGTTGTAATGTGATCCCGTTTATATGCACATACCACACATAGCAAAGTGGAACCTCAGTTCCTTATTAGAGTCTTTGAGTGCTGTGCTAAAGAAAGTGAAAAGGATCAAAAAGACAAGAGAAATGTAAAACTGGATTATAGCAGCAGCCACAGCTTCCCCTGAGATTGAAACTTTATTACTTTAGACACTGTATGTAGAGGCAGTAATAAGTGGTCACTGCCCCTAAAAATCACAGAATCATGGAATGGTTTAGGTAGGAAGGCACCTTAAAGACCATCTAGTTCCAACCCTCTGCCTTGCACAGGGACACTTTTAACCTGGTTCTGGCCAGGAGAGGGTTAAATTTTCAGTAGTAAGGAAGGAGGAAATAATGACCAGGACTTGGAGGTGATTCTGTACCTCCTCACATAATTTTCTGGGAT